ACTCCAACATAGCATTCAAAATCCCCAAGGCAACACAGTAAAATACATCAAGGCTACCAAGAGGAAAAGCATCATTCGAAGGCAACTCATTCAAGCGTCAAAGCCCTCAGACAGCGTCATCACTGGGCAAAGGTCATCAAAAGCAGAAGCAACAGAATCATAGTAGAAAGAAGAAGAGAAAAACATACATTGGAGGCAACACGGTAACAACGTTCAAGGCAACGCAAAGGAATGAATACCAGGGTACCCAGCTGAAGCAAGCATCACGTATCTCCCTCGTTGCCCTCGGCCTCCTAGCATCCACGACGTCCCTCCTCCGTCTCCAGGTAATTTTCTTAATCCGTCATCTCTTCCATAACTCTCCCAATAAATATCACATGACACGGAATTAGGATAAAAAAATAGGTAGAATCAATGCATGCAATTCGTAACAAACCCTAAGCAAATATAAAAACATAAGCTTACCTAATCCGTCATCCCCTTAACACTTTGCTGGAGGGAAGAAGGAGATCGAGGTCACTGATGGCCATGGACAGAGGGCGATTTCAGAAGCTCAAGCGAAGAAGAACGCGAAGAAGAAGATATGAGGTGAGCGCCGTTTCGGCCAGGATCAAATCCCTAATCCCATTTCCCCAATTACTAAACAAACCAAGTTAACCCTAAAACAATGTGCAAAACGTGTGGGCCTCACCCCTTTTCGCCTAAGCCCTTAAGTTGCTTTGTTTACCCCTTGTTTTTTGATTCTGGATACCCTTTTCTATATTTGTTTCTTTAGCCCTTTCTTTTTTTTTAGAATTCATTAGATTTAATTAATAAGAGGTGTTTTTTTAATTAACTTTTTTAATAATGGAATCAATTTTCTTAGTTAAACTCTAGGATTAATTTGATAATTTTAAATATTCCCTTCGATTCGAGTTATGTTAATAACCTTTTAAGTTTTAATTAATTTATTTATTTAATAATTCTAAAAAAATAATAACCTTTTGTATTAATATCAAAACATAAAAAATAGAAACTTAGAAAACTCTAAAAAACATATAAAATTAGAAAACTTAAAAAATATTTTATTAATTCATTCTCTTGTTTTATTATTATTAATATCCAAAATATATAAAATAAAACTTAAAACTAAAAAATATTTTGCTTTCATTGAATAATTCTTTTGCTTTTTATCCATATTAAAAACGCGTAAAAATTGAAAACTATTAAAATACTCTCCTTTTATTAATATTAAACAAAAATCATAAAAATGCATTATTCACATCATTTAGTCTATCATTTAATTATTGTTATTTGATCATTATCCGCATATTTTGTCTGTTTATTTATTCCATATTTATTTGTTTATTCTGTTTTATGTTTAAATCCAAAGGAAAAACAGTAAATTTGTTGACTTCATGTCCTCAAGTCTAACTGCGCGAACTTTCGCATTTCATTAAAACTTAGGATAATTTTTCCTCAAGTATTCAACCTTTTCAAAATTTATACCCTTTAAGCAAAAACTTCGACGTTAGGTCGTCGCATTCCAAAAAAAAACCGTCCGTACCCCTTTTCGGCCAAAACAATTTATTTTCGATCAAACAAATCAATTTTAATAAACAGATATTTCAAAAGGTTCCTATAGAGTACTATAGATGCATTGGGTGCTAATACCTTCCCATTGTATAACCAACCCCCGAACCATAAGATCTCTTTTCAAAAACGCTTTGTATTTTCAGTATTATTTACATTGCATATTTAGGGTTTTATTTCGCTCTTTTCCCTTTTCCTTTGGAAACAATAAAGCGCGGTGGCGACTCTTGCTTTTGTGAGACGAATTAATCAATAATTCGATCTCCGATTTACCCCGCTACATTTTTTATCGCTACAAAGGGCTATAGACTTTACAACTTGAAGACAAACAAGGTGATCATTAGCCGGGATGTTGTATTTGATGAGAATGCTTCTTGGAATTGGGAAAAGACAAAACGAAGGAGAAAACAGTCCTTGTAATCATATTACAACAACAAAACCCAACAGCTGATAATGAGCAACCAGCTCCATGTACACCAAGTTCCGCTTTCTCTCCAAGTTCACAAATTTCAAGTTCATCATCTCCCAGCTCAACTCCAATAAAATTGAAGGACTTGAGTGATATTTATGCAAGATGCATCTATTGTGTTGTGGAACCAGAAAATTTTGATGAAGCAATCAAAGAAGATGCTTGGAGGAATGCGATGCAAGAAGAAATAAATGCCATTGAGAAAAACAAAACATGGCAGTTAGTTGAAAAGCCAAATGACAAAGAAGCTATTGGAGTAAAATGGGTGTACAAATTGAAGCATAATCAAGATGGGTCAATTCAAAGAGCCAAAGCTAGATTGGTAGTAAAAGGCTATGCACAACAGCCTTGAATTGACTGTAGTGAAACTTTTGCCCCAGTTACAAGATTGGATACTGTACAAACAGTTATTTCATTAGCAGCTCAAAAAGGGTGGAACCTGTACCAACTTGATGTGAAGTCAGCTTTCCTGAATGGAGAATTAAAAGAAGAGGTATATGTGCAGCAACCTCAAGGCTTTGTGACTAAAGGCCAAGAGAAAAAAGTTTACAAGTTCAAGAAAGCTCTCTATGGGTTGAAACAAGCCCCGAGAGCATGGTATCATGAAATTGACAGCTACTTCATTCAACAAGGATTTGAAAGAAGTCAAAGTGAGCATACCTTGTATGTGAAGCATCAAGGTAAAGATGATATCCTTCTTGTTTCCCTTTATGTTGATGATTTGGTGTATACGGGTAACAACAAGAAAATGGTTGAAAATTTTAAAATAGAAATGATGAAAAAATATGAGATGAGTGATCTTGGCTTGCTGCATCATTTTCTTGGTATTGAGGTTTACCAAGATGAATATGGAGTTTTTATTTGTCAAAAGGGATATGCTGAAAATATTTTGAAAAAGTTTGGCATGAATGGCTGCAAACCTGTTGATATTCCTTTATTGGTGAATGAAAAATTAAAGAAGGAAGATGGTGGAAGATTAGTATATGCAAGTATGTATAGAAGTTTAGTTAGAAGCTTGTTTTATCTTACAGCTTCAAGGCCCGATTTAATGTTTGATGCTAGTTTACTCTCAAGGTTTATGAGTAAACCGAGTCACTTACACCTTAGAGCAGCAAAAAGAGTTCTAAGGTATGTCATGGGAACCATGGAACATGGAATCAGGTTTGAAAAGAATTTTAAACTCGAAGTTAAAGGCTACTGTGACAGTGATTGGGCTGGAAGTGTTGATGACATGAAAAGCACTTCCGGTTATGTGTTCAGCCTGGGTTCAGGAGTAATTTCTTGGTGTTCGAAGAAACAAGATACTGTAGCGCAATCTTCAGCTGAAGCAGAATATTTGGCAGCTGGTTTGGCTACACAACAATCATTGTGGTTGAGAAGAATACTTGAAGATATCGGAGAAAATCAAGAAGAAAGTCTGCTGCTTCACTGTGACAATAAATCAGCAATAGCCATGGTGAAGAATCCAGTTTTCCACAGTCGAACAAGACATATTAATATAAAGCACCACTTTATTCGAAGTTTGATCGAAGATGGTAATGTGCAGTTAGTGTTCTGCAATTCACAAGAGCAGCCTGCAGACATTTTTACTAAAGCACTACCAAGAGGAAGATTTCAGCAACTTAGAGAAGCAATGAGAGTTAAAGAGCAACACATTAAGGGGGAGTGTTAAAATTAATGTGTTGTAACCACCACTATCTTTAGGAAGCATTATGATAGAATTGTAACCATCACATTATAATGATTGTCTTTATTTAGATTTATGGTAGAGTTGTATCATTAAAATTGAGAGAACCAAAGAGTCCTCATCTTGATTAGCAACCTATTTGTATTCTCTATCAGTTTCATTCAAGCCTATATAAAGGCTTTGTAATGCTAAGATTAAGTGTAAGAAGTGTTTGGTGAATTAAAAAAAAAACAGAGTTTTTCAATGGTCATCCACTAGTAGAAGTATAGTACAAAAAGTGACGAAAAGTAGTTTTACCTGCAGAATCCTGCAACACTATAATTTTTTCACATACCACCTCTAGAATACCGCCAACAGTTTTACATAGTGTGACTAAATACATTATTATAAATTTTTATGTTTTAGTTTATTTTACTTTCGTTCATATATGTTGAATGAATTTTTCCTTGCGGATTGTCTGATGTTTAGAATGAAAATGATGTTCCTTTTGAGATTTTTTCCTTCGTCAAATTCATCGAGGTTTTCCTCATTTTGCAATTTTATTCATTTTTTCATGTATTTACTGGTTTTGCAAATAGAAAATTCTCAAAGGTAGATTGAGAGCGATATTCGTCAATACTGAGAGAGGCCGTCATCAAAAAGTTAATCTTCTCACCTTTTATGAGAATTTGCAAACATGAAGTAAGTGTAAGCTCAAACTGCACTTTTTATTTATATTTATAGTTCATGCATGTGTTATCTTAAGTTAAGTATTTATTTAAGTTATGTTATCATTCAAAATATAAGTTTCTTTGGTAAAGACTACCGTTTATCTTGTGTCATGAAATTTTAGTTAACTAGCTGAAATCGCCTATTTTATGAAGTGAGGTGGGATTGATTGGATTTCCACTCAATTGCATTTTATTAGAAATTTTTGATAATTATGTCAAGCTTCTCTTTCTCTAATTTGTTGAGTTTTGCAGTATATAACATAACTAAACTTTGTTTTCATACATGATAACAATGTTGTATTGTCATTGCATTATCATTGTAGTGATGATACTAATTTCCACCCTATTATATTTTATTTTCTTATTATACTTGTGTTTCTTCTTGCATCAAGTGGAAAAAGATTGTTAAATAAGTATATTTTGTTCTCCCTGACTGTGATAAAATAGTATATGCAATGCTTACTGAGGGTGTATGACGACTTCCAACATGTATTTTTACTATTGGTGTTCCAACGTAAGTGTTTAAATAATTGTACTTCTTTTATGCTTGAGAAGATTGCTGATGGCCCTGGTGAAGTTGTTCTTGAAACTCATAACATTAAATCAAGTAATATATCATATTGTCAGTGTTAGTGTCGTGTTACTTGAGATTACAATTAGCTTATTCACATTGTCAGGGTTAGTGTCGTGTTCGCATTTCATAGGATATAATTATTGAGTCTGATTTAATTAATGTTGATGTATATAGGAAATTGGTTACTTCAAAAGCACATGAATTGGGGATAGGAAAAGTGAACCACAAGATGAAATTTGCACAACTATATGGAGTGTCAGAGGCAATTTCTTTTGGTTTGAGCAATGCATGGTTTAAGGTTAGAAAGTACATGCCATTTGGGCCTATAGAGACTGTTATGCCATACCTCTTGAGAAGGGCTGGAGAGAATAGAGGTGTGTTAGTTGTATCGGGTTTTGACAGGCAACTGATGAGGTAAAAATTTGAAGCAAACCTAAAAATTTCATTGTGTTGTTTCGTGTGTGGTTCATGAATGAAACATTTGGTTTATGTTGATTCTCAATGATTGTTTTTTTGAACATAAAAGAGTTGGTTAGGAGATTTAAAGTAGTCGTGTTTTAAAATTTTGAATTCTGAAAATTTGAATTGTGAAGACTGATGGGATGTGAAATTTTCTGGTAAGTAACACATGTTAATACTGATGTCCCAACATCAGAACAATGTCAAGACAAATGTTACAATATCTGTTGACAGATAAAACATATTTATCAAGATGTAAGTGATACTAAAATAAAATTGCAGAATGATAAATAACATATAGAGTTGTTAACCCAGTTCAGTGCAACATCACCTGCATCTGGAGGCTACCAAGTCAGAAAGGAAATTCACTATTAGCAGTATCAATTTAATGCTTAAACAGTTCCAATTTACAACTTCCCACTTAATCACTACCCAGTGCAACTTCTACCTATAAATCACCATCTAGATATGAGAAATCTCATCCCACTTCCCAAATCACCTCAGTGATATCTAATAGTCTCAATCCCAGTGACTGTATAAAAAACAACTCAATAAGAAGATTACACTTCCAATACAAAACTTAGTTAAGACTCTTAACTAAGAACAATACTTGGTGTTTCTTAAAAGCTTAATCCAAGAATAATACTCATCTCATTACCTAAAGGCTTTTGAGTGAGAACATTATGTCTACCACAAGTATCAAAAGATACAAGGGTGACTTACACCCACGCAAGAGACTCTAAAAAGCTAAGACTCTAAGCTTCCCCTAATTTACAAATTATAAAAAACTTAATTGAAAGAATTGATACATTAGGTTTAGGTTTTCTCTTTAAATACACCTCTGTAGTCCATGGGCTTCGAAATCTGCATCCAGATATTTCTTGATGCACAAGCTGAGTGATGCACCTAATTGTGTAGCAAAATCTCCAAAAATCTTGGAACAAACAATAACAAGTTTCTTAAATTTTCTCAAGGCCCAATTTAGTAACTTATGTATAGTTGGAGATGCAAAACTTGTTCCATATTAAATCTTCTTGACCTGCGAAATTTACTGAGGCATATCCAAAAGTAATATCACAGAAATCAACTAAATCTGTCAAGATTTAAAACAACATGTACTGATGTTATGATACAATATGTTACAACATTTTCCATAACATCTGCCTTTAAATGAACTTGACCAGTATGTTAGAACATCTTCCATAACATGCTTATTGTAAACCATGTTTTAGCAAATTTATGCCAATCCTAAAACCATGGTACTAACAATCTTTTCCTTTGACAAAATTTGGCTAAAACAACCAAAACTCAATTAAACTGGAGAGAGGAGTAAAACCACAGAGGAATAAGACCATAAAGCTAACTGCCCAAGAACATGTATCAAAGATACATCTGTTAGACAAACACAAGCTACATGTTAAACGTGTAAACTTTGTACATTAGGAAGAAGATGACCTGCATCTTCAGAACCATCCAAGTTTCTCCCCCTAAAACACCTAACCACTTCTTGTCACATAGGGATAAATTTTCCTCTCAAGAAGCACAAGAAAACCAACCCAAAGTTTTAGAAAACCAACCCGGACTCAGGATATTAGAAGACCATGCAACAGAAGTAACACACATAACTCAGAGCATAAGACACAACAATGCTCATAACTCGGAACATAAGATACAAGGGGCAATACTCAAATAGAAAAGACACAACAGACAAGATGTTATAATATCCTATAAGACATCCTGCAAACAACCACAACACAAGTAGCAACAGGTAACATAAACAAGATAGACTTAAGACTCACATGACAGTCAGTCATGCCCCCCTAAAGTTTTGCATAAAATAAACAACACTTGACTAGACCTAAACTTACAAACACTTTTCACCTCCTTTTTAGTCAAAAATTGAGTAGAAAAAAATCGGGCACATAAAGAATCAAAAGAAGCAAGAATTGATTCAAGACAAACAAAAGAAACTAACTCTATGACTTGATGTAGGACTAATAACACCAAACTGACTAAAAAAACAACAAAAAGGAAACATAAAGAAAGAACAAACTCACCCATAGAGACAAAAACTAAGGGTTAAAAAAATTTGACTCAAAATAAGACCGACTCAATGAATATAAAAAGAACAAAAAAAAACACACATTTTTTATAACAAATAGCATTTATTATCTATCCAACACAACCTCCCGAGTTAATGAAACTGACCCAATCTTCATCAACATCTGAGTCTGAATCCTGTAATGCACATGGTTTTTCTTGAGGTACTTCACCTTGATTACAAATATTTTCCCTGTCCTGGATGTTCCAGTAGATGTTCCAATATTTGTTGCAGCGTTGGACACTACTTTATTTGAACCAGAACCCACTTTCTTCTTGGTTTTCAGTAGAAGAGCCTTTTTTGCATCAATAATTTGGGAAGATTTACTCATGTTGAAAAGTAACTTGTGAGGATGGTGAGGTTGAAAGGCCTTTAAATACAAGGAAAGTTACCTAGTTTGTAAAGAAACCTTGCTTGTAATGACAGTTCAGTCAAGAAATAGTTTTTGGAAGAAGATAAGATCCACCTTAGTAATAATGAACCACTCACCATTGGAGAGAGACACGTTCTTGTTCAGCTTTCTCTCTTTCCAAGCTTTGACTGCTTGAAAATGTTACAACATTTGAAATAACATTCTCCATTCCATTGAAAATGATTCTTCTGAAATTTCACACTTCACTAGGTGAAAGAATATAGTCGGCATACCGTCCAAACAATTACTACTATAATACTTCAGCAGTGCAATTCCAAAAATTACCCCTCATATTCTCAATGTAACTTGCACTTCAAGTTATGATGAAAATATTTCCTAAAGATTCTCAGCCATACCATGCTTAAGAGTGTCAATATAAGCTTGTAGTAAGATCCTTTACTTTGTTATGCAAGCAAAATAAAATCCTTGTACCTTGATTGTAGTAGCATGTCACACTACAATGTCATGACATTCAATTTGACATTGTAATCTTTTAGTAATCAAACTAATTGAAAAATACATCTTCCTTCAACAATGTACCTGATCCTAAAGATATACCAGGATTCAATTAATTCTAATCCAAGTGACAAGAATATCCTCCAATAATACAATCTTCTTCAGACTTGGCTAATAGCTTTTTACTCCAAAATTCACCATCATTAAATATTTCATCTCTGAAACAACTGATGATCACAAACCAAAATAAACTCCAAATGATGAACTCCATTTTTAAACAAAATGTTGTTTTCTGAGAGATTTCTTATTCAGTGCCTCCCAACCCTTTAGAGTCTTCTATAATGTTTGGAGTATCAACCTGCTGCGATGATGTTCCAACATCTAGTTGAACATCAATACCTTTCTTAATGAACACACCACTAATCTTGGTCCTGAAGTTAACATCACTGAAAGTACTTCTCTTTGTAGAGTAACACAAAAACATACATTGTTTTCATTCAAGGACTAGATAAGAACCTTTGAAGACTTCACAAATAATATATTCTTCTTTGCTATAGATCACAAAAGAGAATAACATATATATGTGTTTTTATCCTCTAAGACACTGATCAGTGGTTTTTCCATCTTTATTTACAGTTGATTTTAGTTATAGTTTTTTGTTTTGTCAAGTGTTTTATTTCATTCTTCTATGTTTTATGTGTTGGTTGTGTATTTTTTTTATTTTCAGGCTCCGGGGAATAAAACCAGAAAAATTAGTGTGAAAAGTGTAAATTCAGAGTTTTGGAGGAAGTCTCAAAAACCAAACTACAGGGTTCCTAACACGGCCACTCGTGTCACCTGACACAGGTTGTGTCAGGAGAGATGCACAACTTCAATTTGGGATAAGAGGCAGAGGTTGACACAGGTGCCCGTTTCAGCTGACACGACCCATGTTAGAAGGTCTAGGTGAGAGGTTTAGTTAGAGCGATGGACTGAGACCTACACAGGCGCCCGTGTCAGGTGACACGAACCGTGTTGACCAAGACAGTGATTTTGAGTGTTTTTATGATTTTGTATGATTTGGGACCCAATGGGGGGAGTTTTAGGTATTTCCGACTGAGACAAATGGATTGTGCACTATTTAGATGCGTTTCGAAGAAGAATTAGGGACCTTTGTTACAGAGAACGAATTCCAGAGTCTAGGAGTGACCACTAGAAAATCAATGTTCACTTCTCGACATCCTCAACCTTCCACCTTGCGGCGTTAGCTCGTATACCAACTTAAGTATCTGAATTGTTTAATAAATTCCAAATCTTTCATAGCCACTTTCCATTAGGTTCACACGAACTGGCGAACGACTATCTTCTCTATAGTACGTCAATCACTTTACTCACTATCAATCTAGCAAGACAAGTCTATCTCATCCAATAAAATCCCGTCTACTATCAACAAGAGATTAAGGGTGATCACTTCCTCAATTTGTCAATAGGTAGCTGACAACCATAACGGTGGCATAAATCATCGTTACCCAACTATAATAGTGTCTTTCACCTTGTGCTCAAAGTTACCCAATCATAATGTCCAACAATCTCCCCAGGCATTACAAACGTCTTCCTTAATTCCTTCTTTTTCAATATCATCAATACATAATGCCCAAATATTCATTTCATAGTCTCCCATACCCGCACGAAGTATAACATAATCATTAAGCATTCTCCAATACAAGAACTGCTACTATCTCAAGAATAATCCAAATCGCTTCGTCCTAATGAAGTCTTCATCCAAGTAAAGGACTTTAACAACATCAATAAATCCTTAGTCCTTCCTTAAAATATCACAACCTCGAGGATCCATATGTTTTTCACATTTGAATCTCATTCCAATCGCAATCTCAATGATACCATCCCCACATCCCGATTGGTGATAGAAACTTCTAAATCCTTTTTAACACATGTTGATACTTTGACATCATAAACATGATTCCAATTCCTCTTGAATTTATTTTTCCTC